TATATATGTATATAAAGGTGTTTTAAACCCTTCCCACACTCTTGCAATATTCTAAACAATGTTTCTAAACTCTACATGCTTTAAAAGAGCAAAGAATGTCATTATTTCAGCTCTCTGCCTTGACTGCTCTCTGCCACCTGCCAGTGCTCTCGGCCACGCCCACTTCTCCGCTGCAGAGCGGAGATATGACATGCTACAGGTGCTAAATAATTTCAAATAATTTATTTTAAATAAAAATGTCATGCCGATCGTGCGGCTCATCCACCAATCAGCCAATTGTGTGTCATTTCCAATCTTATTTTGAAAAACCAAGAAAGAGCGAGTCCGCGATAAACGAACCACGAAGTAGCGAGGGACTACTGTATTCTTATGTATCAGAGATTTGCCCTTTATTTAAACTCATAAGATGGTAGCGTGTATTTATCTGAAGGCACTAAACATCACATCTTAAGGGAAATAGTGGTTTTATCGCAAATAATGTCATAGAGATATTTAACAATAATATTGCAATTGCATATTTTCCTAATGCAGCTTTACTAAATGAAATATTTTTGCTTAATTTGTGTTACTGGCAGACAGGTTATACCAGCAGAATGTGGCCGCACTGGCAAAGATCAGAGATGACTGGCTGAAGGATCACACCAGTGCCTGTGAGGTAAAGTCTAACAATGACGTCCTCATTCTCACAAGAATTAAACGCACTGAGCTAAATGTCAGAGGTTTTGTTTTATTTCACCACAGGTTTTTGAAAATCAGTCAACAGAGCGTATCAATATTCTAAGGAGCACAATCTGGACTCATCTTAATCAGCTCTCCCAGCAATGTGTGACTAGTGATGAGGTGAATCTTTACATTTTTCTACTGTATATCACTGTGAAACACACCAAACATACTGTATAAGCAGTGGGTATAGACAGAAACATTTAAGTAATTTATAATTTAGTTCCAAATAGTTGACCAATCAAAGCATTGAAAACTTTGTGCAAGAGGTGGGGTTAGGTTAGCCAAGTCAGGCAAACTTTTACATGGGGACTTTCAAAATAAAAGTCTGAACAAATAAATAAGTGGAATATGGGTTCTTTAGAGGCGGTACAATCAATATTTTTATTAATGACAGAATAATTCAATTCAATTCAATTCAACCTTTATTTATACAGATAAATCACATTGAGCCTTGAAGACTCTTTTACAAGGGAGACCTGTTTGGACAGATAATAAAAGTGGTAAAAGTGACAACATGGGTTTTGCAGCCAAAAAAAAAATACTAACAGGCTCTCAATCTATATATAGATAGCCTGAAAATGAAAACAAAACAAAAACCTTGCACACAAGCACATAGTGACACTGACATTCTGCAGGGGAGGTGGGATGCAAGGACGGTGAGCGTGTCCAAGGACACTCACAGAGGCACTGTAAGAGTTCTGATGAGAGTGGTATAATCACTCAGTTCCTTCTGGAGAGATCCATAAACATTCTCGGGGGTGCCGAGGTTGGCCAAGGAGTGTCAGATATAATCCAAAGAGTTCTGAAATGATAACAGAATGTTTATTCAGCCGGGCCTCTCCGATTGGTCCATAGAATTCTTCGGTGGAAGAGGGGAGGAGGCAGAGCATCGGGTTTACAGAGCCTCCAGGCAGATAAAGATAAGGTGGCCTGTCAAGGCCAGTCAGGGAACCAAATTCAGATAAACACGCTTGTTTTGGGGACAGGCAGAACTTTACTGATTATGTCTACCTTGAGTCTGTGTCGGTCCTCTCGGTTCCGAAACGTCCAAATTAAGTGGCCACACCACTGATCCATGCCTGAGCGTATTCCCCGAGGTCTGATCCATCCTGCCAGCAAATCCTAGGGGCCGCAAGTGGCCTGCGATTCTCACAAATCACATCCAGTCTGCGGCTTTGTTCGCAAAGCAATTGAGTCTGGGCGCTCGAGGCACAACCCAAGCCATCACACAAGGCAGACAGCCTGACCAGAGTCAAATTTGCTGCCAACGACTTCCTTGTTTGTTGATAAACCAGGAACCAGTCGATTCCAAAAACCAGGAAACCTGTTATCATAAATCCAATTATATATGCATCCTTAGCATCCTCGATTGACAGCAGAGATAGACATATCACCTTCCAAATTGATGACGTATCCAGCTGTGTGAGTGCTATGAAGGCAAGTTGGCTCACCTAAAACCTGTCTTCTCAAGAAATGTTATCAGTTGCGTTGAGGGACCATCTGACCAAATCCATAGCAGAATTATGATTCGGAAGATTTGTAGAAGAGAGCCTCTAAAGCAGTTTCACAGGCAGGACAGAGCAAAAGCAAAGCGGAGAGGGAGAGGAGTGGGAAATGTGTCTGCCCTTGACAAGAGCAAGTGTTGAAGTGTATGTTTAATACTTTTTGTATCTGGTACGATTTGACAATTCAACATCCAGCAACAAACGGTCATCCAATAGCGGAAAATGAAAATTCCTCTTTAGCGTTTGGCGGCAAAATGCTGTACAAACATTCTCAAATCACACAAAGCACATTAAAAACTAGAGACATTGCATTTTCTGGGGGGGGGAAGTGTGAATGTGAAATGATTGATGAAATTTGCTGATTAAATTAAAATTGAGTTGTTAAAGCTTTAGCTTCAAACAGCTAAAAGCTAAAAAGTAACAGAACAGTAGCCATGAAAAAAGACAAAAGCATGATGAAGCAAATTTCAAAGAGAGCAATATTTTTGAAAGAACAGAAAAGGTCGCAATTTATTTCTTCATAGTAAAAGATTTAAAATAAAATTAAATGTTTTTAAAAGGATAAATGGTACAAATATTAAAAGTCAGCTGCCATCTCCTGAACAAACCTGATATACGAATGGCTAAAACTGCACAATGCAAACAAACAAACAAACAAACTGGATAACAATGAGAATGCTGACTAATCATTCGCACAATAAAGGAAACTATCATATGGGCGTTTTAAGTAATTGTGAAAGCTCATAATTATATTATTTTGACACTCTCTTGCAGTAAGTATCTGTTTCAGGTAAAAAATAAAAAGTGCTGAATAATCCTTTTTTTCTGGCTTGCACTAAACAGCACACAGACACAGTTAATAGCTACCTGTGGGCCACAAATAAGCATTTAGCAGCTTAAGAGTAAACGTTCCCACTTTACTCTGAGTGAATGTTGCTCAGTCTGATAGATCTGTAAAGCTGCTGACATATAACTGCATCTTTCAGATTGTTTTTGATGGAATTTTATTTTACCTCTATTATCGCCTGCTGCTTAAAGTGCATTCTTTCAAGGTCTTTAATTTAAGCTGTAATCTTGTTGAGGTTGTAAACTAAAGTTGACATATAGGAAGATAAGGAAAATGTTGCAAAGCTAATTTCGGGGTCAACTGAAGTGCTATTTTCAAATTAACATCAAACTATTGAAATCAAATGTATTATTTATACCTTACAAGATGAATCCTGTATTTATCAGTAAAGCAAATTATTTATTAGACTCTAACCTTGTTTTTTTTTACTGTTCATGTGTGTGGGCATAGCTGTATGAGGAAGTGAGGAAATCGTTGGAGCATTGTAACATCCAGGAAGACGTTGAACACTTTATAAACCTCAGACGTACCGGAGACAAACCACCAGGTACAAACACAGCCCAAACCCACAGACTGTACTGTGTTATTTAACGATTAACCAAGGATGGATTACAGTCAAAGGGTAATTATTACACAACAGTTGCCAGTATGGTAACAGTGTCTGCATGTCCAAAACAGTTCCAGTTCCGTATGAGAACTTCTACAGTGGTCAGAAGTCTCCTACTGGAGCTCCACTGTCACGACCCCTGCCGTCACCTGCCATCAGGTACAGTTCTTTGCCACAGTTTTTAAAAACTAAAGATACAGTCCATATGTTAACTTTGTCTTGTAAATTTGCAGGAGAGGGCCATTACCAGACCCAACACAGAACAGTATGTATTTATTAATTTTAAATGAAGTAGCAGTCATTCACTTGTCAAACACGTTATGGTTTCTATCATATAATTTGAGCAACAATGCTATGTCATATAATTGTCATGATACAATATGTTTGATAAACTGCACTGGTTTTAGTTGCAAAAATCTTGTTGGGAACAGTTGAAGCCATATTTATCTAAATGCTTGGAGCCTTGAAGATTTGGACAGCAAGACAGTCAGTTTGATGTACTTATCTTGTATTTATTTTAAGTTACATTCCAGACAATTTGATATTCCATTGGAAAAATAACGAGGAATAAATATCTTACCTGTTGCAGAAAATTATTTGAATAGCCTCAAATGGAGAAACTTAGTTTACGCCCAACAGTACTGACAAGCTAATGGCTAGTCTGAAGCAGCCAAGACTGAAATGGTTACTTTTGTTTTTAAATAACTCCAATATTAAAAATAAAAATCTTTTGCTAATGCAAATAGTGGCAGAAGCATTTGTTAGCTGTAGCACTTCTGGTGCAGCATGTGGTCAAGTTCGACAGAAATATAATATTTCTACCAAATTAGCTGCGTAATTTTGAAAATGACAATAATGTAAGGATTTTAATTAAACTGTTTAGAAGAGGGTGGTATGGTGGCTCAGTTGGTAGTTTCCTCTCAGTGAGAATGTTGCTGGATCAAATCCCATCTTGGGACCTTTCTGGGTGGAGTTTGCATGTTCTCTCTGTGCATATGTGGGTTTTCTCTGGGTACTCTGGTTTCCTCCCACACACCAAAAACATGCATGTCAGGCTGATTGGTAACTCTAAATTGTCCCTAGGTGCGAGTGAGAGTGAATGTTTGTCTCTATGTGTCCCTGTGATGGACTGAGACCTGTCCAGGGTGTCTCCCGCCTCTCACACAGTGACTGCTGGATATGGACACCAAAGACCCAGAAAGGAAGAAGCGGGTAGAGATAATAGATGGATGTTGTGACATTTTTTTTTAGATTGGAGATGTTTGAGCTAATCTGTATTTGGATTAGCCTTTAGCACATCCGTCATGTTAGATATGAACGATTTTTTTCCAAACTAAAGCGGTTCATAAATCTATCTACGACAGGTGAGATATTTACTCCTCATAAAGTTTGTGCAGAACCCCAGCTTCAGGATTTGATTTTGTCTGAATTTGTGTGACAATGAGAGGGAACACCCCTCATACCATCAATGTTAAATTTTTAGTAGCAATTAATATCTGTTGATATTTTTTCACAAACGTACTATAAAATATCCACTTCCTCTACAGGACAATACTTATAAAGTGTGTTTTTCTGTGGATTCATCATCAAGCCTATGATGTCCTCATATTATTATTTTTTTTCATGTTGATTTTATGTTGTCTGATTGCAGATGAGCCAACCTACTCAACCATCCAGGACACAAGCTACAGCATGATTCATTACTAACACTCAGGTCACATCATTTCCTCCTTTGAGATTTCCTGTACTCAAACCGTGTTATCAGATGGAAAATCAGTGTCATAGTTCTGGAAGTGCAAAGTTTGCATTTTATTGTTTGATATCCTAAACATATCAGTTAATTATAAATAAAAAGTTTATCCAGTTAGTCATTCAGTTTTTAAGGTTTTTATGGTAATAATAAAAAATAAAAAAACAGCCTAACATGACAAATTTTGTGCTTTATTTTGTTGAATCTGTAGCTGGTAATTAGAGAATAACTAAACAATGATGTGTTTGAGGAGTTATGGTCATGGTCCATGTTTGGAGCGCTACGATTGTCTCGAGGTTTGCCATGCAAGGCGTGTTCCTCACATGCTGTACCTATATCAGAGTTAATCTTCAGTTTTGTATTTATTTGGTGTGTTTTTAAATATTAAACCAAGAGTCACAAAGTAAAAGTGTAAAAATTTGCATTTCTTTTGATGTGAAAGTATCTGTGTTCATAACTTTTAGTAAAAATCTCAAGTTCCTCTACTGATTTTACAGCTTGTTCAGCTAAAACATGCTTCCATTCATTATCATGTGCTTTATGAACATTTTAAAACTTTATGTCAGGTGAAGAGGTGTTGGGGGTTGATTTAGCTTTATGGCTGAAGCATGTTATTGGTTAATACTTCTTCATCTTTTTATGCATTTGTCCGGAGAACATTTGATCAAAAGGGTCACTTTTTACTCTCAATTTCTTTGGTCCATTTCTGATTGTCACATCACATGTCACCTTTTCTCAGCTCAGAGGTCAGGATTACAAAGTTATTCTACTATCCTCTCAGTAAAGTCACTCATTCCCCATAATTGATCTAACTTTACCTGCAATGCATATTTCTGAAGGCTTTAAAGAGCTCTTTGACGATTAGAACACCTCGGTCATTACGACGGAGCTTTAGGGCCACTACAAATAAAAATAAAAGCCATAAAATTATGAGAATAAAGTTGTACGAGATTTTTTTTTTTTTTTTTTACAGCTCTCGTTTATTTTTTATTTTTCTCCACAAGTCAGCTCCACGACGTGACCTGTCAATCAATCCAATAGGCGTGTCAGCAAATCACCAATCCGCAGCTAAATGAGTCGTAATATTATGTGAACTCCGACACGATAAAGCAGGTTTACATTTTAAATGCGGTAAACTGAAGAATGCTGAGCATCTTGTTCAGCTATACTTTGGTATTGGTTTTACAAATAAGAAGATCGTTAATCTGTTAGCACATCATAATCAGATTATTACCAATATCAGGTACGCTCTGATGGGCTGCAGCAGCTCTCTGCAGGTAAGGAGCATTTAGCTTCGAATTGGTCATCTGCTGACACGCCTACTGGATTGATTGACAGGTCGGGTCATGGAGCTGACTTGTGGAAAAAAATAAACGAGAGCTGTATTAAAAAAAAGTATCATACGACTTTATTCTCATAATTTTAGGACTTTAAATTTTTTTTTCTTAGCGTGGAAATGTTTTTTTTTTGTTTTTTTGCGCGGCCCTAAAGCTTTGTCGTAACGTTCGTAGATAGCACCAGCTCAGTGTTTGTAACTAATTACATCAGACCCATCCATCTCTAAATCTATCTTCTAATTATCGGCACATAATCTGAAATCCATAAGGATTACAGACTTCTCCTTTTATCATTGTGGTGTAAAGAATATTTAAACCATGAAAATAACTGTAAAGGACAATTTTGTCTTTATGTTGTCAGAGTTTAAAAAGAGCATCAAGTGTCTCCGTGTCCACACAAGTTGAAAACTAAAACGTTAGTGTATTTTCCTATAGAGTCATTTTATGGGTTGATGAGCAACTATAAACAATAAACATCCCAAAACAAGCAAAACTTAACATTAAAATTTCTGTTATTTTTGTTCATATGCTGTAGATTCCTCTTCATTGTGAGTTAAATGTCTCTGCAGGCGTTTATTTTAAAGTTCTGGAGCTTTTCAGGACAACTCGAGGCCGATGTTTGATAGTGCTGGTTCTCCTGCGCTGGTTTGAAGTCACACAGCTTGCTCTGATCTGATCAGATCCAGAATCACCTGGATGGTTGGGTCATCTGCAATAAGGACAGAGGAACAAATCAGATCCAGGACGCGACTCATTTTTTGGAGACAGACTGCTATTTGTGACGCTGTGATGCCTGAGTTTACCTTCAAGGTTCATCCTGGGGTTCTCCAGCTTCTTTTCAAGCAAAGAATCCATCAGTTTCCTCAGATGTTTGAAGATCACACCAATCCGTACCGGAGCCTTGAACGCAGCAAAGAGAAACATTTTAATCTACAAACCAAAGAACGGACGGACCAAACAGATAAGAGAGTTGGGTTCAGCCCAAACAACAAAAAATATTTCTTAGTGAATAGAAGGAACTAAATATTTTTTTCGACAGTTCGAAGATGAAAGGATCAGCAACTATCTCACAAACTCACGTAAAAAACATAAATGTGTTCATTTTTATTCCTGCGCATCTTAAAGAACAGGCACTTTTGAGACGTTGGCCATAAAAATCAGGTTTCTGTGAGTACGCTCATAGATCTGCGACCTCTGACCTGGAAGTGGATCCACCCGTCTAAAGTGATGAGCTTCTCTCGGTGCTGAATGTCGATGTCGCCTCCGAACAGCAGCAAGGGGAAAGGAGGTATCAGAGTCGTGTCTCGCAGGTAGATCTTTGCATATTTAACCTGACGAGGATCATTCATTAAAACAAATCTAAACAACTGATTAAGAAACATCCCACAGTTACTAAGAGCACTCTTTCTTACCTTCTCCTGGTACAGCAGCCAGCCGTAGGTCTGCAGGTTACGGTTAACAGATGAAGGGTGGACCTGAGCCTTGCCTTGAGGCGTCTCCACCATGCAGGCCACTCGTTCCAGCCCGTCCACCGAGGGGTTGCACAGCACCCGGGCCACGCTGTCGTAGAGCCCCGCCGACAGCGCCGCAGTCAGGACGGAGATGTCCTGCTTGGACGGCGAGGCTGCTCGCTGCTTCAGACGGGAGGAAGAGGAGCGGGACGACCAGAAACCTGCCTGCTCCATCATCTTCATCAGCTCGTGCTTCACGTTCTGAGTGAACCACGGAGAGTATGAGATCATAATGGACAGAAGATGGAGAGGAAAGGTGTCGGCTTTGTGTTACCTCTAGTGTGATGAGAGCCGTTCGATTGAGGAAGTGTTTCCTGCAGTAGGACAGCTCGGTCCTCAGTCCTTCCGTCTGTGAGTTCTTCCACCTAAAACAGCAGAAGATGATGCAAGAACAAGTGCATCCTATAATAAAAGTTTGATTTGAAGTATCTTTGTAGGATTCATTTACCTGTCCTCCCTGATTTTTCATTATAAGTATAACATAAGCATGCATTTATTTATGCATAAAAGCAACAGATAGATTTTAAATACTGGTCAATGACTGGCAGAAAGAAGATGGCACAATAAAATTAGAGATGCACCAATCTGATATTAATATTGATATCGATACAGATATGGAAAATATCTTGAACGGGTATTGGTTGAAATGCACCGATCCGATATTAGTATCAGTATATCGGGAAAAAATTCTTGATCGGGTATCGGTGACAATGTGATCGATCCATAAGGACAGGAGCTGATTGATGTTTATTTTAAATATCTGCCAACCAAGCTAGTGAAGCTATTGTTTTTTATTCTTATTTCAGCTCCTTGATTATTAATTTTATATTATATTTAGAATTCCTAAACCTTTAAAAGGTTTGTTAAATTATATTTTCATGTTTGACCAAAGTTGCCAACCTATTGTTTTTGTCAGTTTCAGTATCTTTATTATTATTTATTTTACATTGGCTGTTATACTCATAATTGCACTGATTGAACATATTAAAGTTGTGTTGTTTTTATGTTTGATCAAGCTTGTGAAGCTACTGGTGTGTTTAAGTGTGCTGTACTGGTGCAGAGTTTTCAGTAAATTTGTAATTCAGTATGTCTGCAAAAAAAAAATAAAAAAAAGTTTTAACTTAATTCAGCACAGCTTCCCAGCATCAGAGTGGTATCGGATCGATACAGAGCATCGAGTATCCGTATCAGAAGTGGAAAAAGTGGATTGTGCATCCCTAAATAAAATGCACAATCATTTATAAAATGCATACATTTAATGGTGACCAAGCTCACAACCAATGCTGGTGGAAAATAATTCCAACTTTATGGCATTTGTGCAGGAGACTAAATGTATTTTTACTTTCAATATTTAATTTCTCTTTATCATCAATGAGTGCTATGAGTAAATCTGCAGGTTGTTGAACTTTTATTATCACTCTACAAAATGCAATTGTGAGAAAATTCTGTGGGACTTTAAATTATCTTAGATGTCTCTGAGGAAAATACTGTACAGCTGTCAACATATCTTATCCTTCTTCCCTAATATGCTGTATTTTGTTTTACTTTGACAAAATACTTAATGATCCATTAAAAAAAAGGAGTTCATGAAAATGCTCTTCAAAAAAAAAAGAAATACATAAAAATATAACCACAACGCAAAGAGATGCACCTGATCACCGACTTATGATGGTTGCTGCAATTGTTAGAAAAAAAAAAAAAAATCTAAAACAGCTTAATAGGAAAACTAAAATGTAGTGTTTTGGATCGGTCCGTACCCCAGGTATGCGTTGTACATGGTCAGGTGATCAGAGTTGGCCAACGCCAGAGCAGCTTTAGCCAAGTTCGCTTCTTCTTTTCGATTCATCGGTGTGGAAAAAGGAGACTTCTCTGTGATGGCCGCTGCGATAGTCGCCTGAAACAAATGTTTTAACACTTTTTAAATCATATTACTTGGAACAAGAATAAATATACTGTGAATATAAAAAGTCCAAAGGAGCAAAAGATTAACTCGTAAAGTGCTGATCCAGCAGGACGTACTATGGGCTCCAGGCAGCCGAGGATTGCTCCGTAGATGAGCATCTTGGCGATCTTCACGTTAACCGGCAGACTGGCTAAGTGATGTCCCAGAGGGGTGAGGACGTGGCAGCTGGGCTGACACGCACCGATCTTCCTCAGCAGGTTGACAGCGTTGCTGACCGACTGAGGCTGAGGAGCATCCAGGGCTCGGCTCAGAAAGTCCTCCGGGGAGCCGTACTGACATTTCTACCAGAGAGGAGAACGACAAGTTTTTATGTTTGTGTGACGTTCATTATGTGGGTAGCAAAGCCTCACTTACTTACCATTATGTGAAGACAGAGCTCCTCCAGTGGGACTCTCAGAATCTCTGGGATGGAGTAATCTGCGAAGGCATCGAACCTGAAGTAAAGCACGTCAAACAAGAGCAGAAGTCTGACTTGAATTCAGTTCAGTTTATTTTAAAAAGCGCCAAGTCACAACAGAAGTCATCTCAGGCACTGAGCAGAAACATTCATATACAATAGTCCCTCGTTTATCGCGGGGGTTTGGACCACGACTTCCACGATAAGTGACAAACCACAAAGTAGAGATACAGTATAGTTCAAGTAAACTTTACTGTTATTACCATCTCATGTACCAAAATTATGTCACAAGTAGTAGTAGTAGTAGTACTAAGTAGTTGTTTATTTACGTATATACAGGTATATATTAAGGCATTTTAAACCCTTCCCACACTGTCACTAACAATTTTCTAAACTCCAAACGCTCTAAAAGAGCACAGCATGTCATGATCTCCGCTCTCTGCCTCTGGCTCTGCTCTCTCGGCCACGCCCACTTCTCCGCTGCAGAGCGGAGATCTGACACGCTGCAGGAGGAAGCTTCTCCCTGCACCTGTGGGCTGAACACCGATGCAGCAGGTGCTAAATCAGCGAAAAACGAACCGCGAGGGACTCCTGTACATAAAAATTAAATTTGTAACTATTTAAGGTAGGTATCCTGATGCATGCTCAATAATCCAGGTAGAAAAATCTAAAAAGGTTAAATCTGGTCCTCTGGACATTCAAAAAAAACGTCCTTTTCAGGGACACCACCAAGTCATTGGTTCAGGTATGTTGACGACACCTGGGTTAAAATCAAATCTCAGGAAGTCCAACATTTTACTGACCACATCAACTCTGTGGATAAATACATCAAGTTCACACGAGAAGATGTAAAAAAATGGCAGGTTGGCTTTCTTGGACTGTGAGGTCTCAGTCTCTGATAGAGGACATTTGCAAACTGAGGTGTACCGCAAACCCACCCACACAGACCAGTATTTGCAGTTT